TTTTCCAGAAGACCTTGGAAGCTGAAAATATGGAATTGCTCACTTACTACAGGCATCTGAAAGACTGCTGAACAAATACACAGCAGCAGAAAAAAAATAAGGCTGATAACAAAATGCTGTCTTCACACTTAAAGAAGTATTCCTTGAGTGTTTGTCCTCTGTCTCTGAAGCTTCAGAGGACATGAGAACATCATGTGTCAAGGGAAAAGTTTTAAAGGACAAGTTGGGAAATGGATGGTTATTCAAAAGAGAAATCAAGTGGCCTTGTCAAAACACTACAAATAGAACCAAAGAGAAACTAAGAAAGTAAAGCCAACAAAAAGAATGGTATAATTTGCACTTTTACATGAGTCCAACCAAGAAATGTTATGCAAATGAAGAATGAACCCCATGGAAGTTTATTTTCCTACACTATGTGTTTTTGGTTTGGCTGGGCTGCACAGTTCAGTCATTTCCTGGATGGCTAATGACAAAGAAAAAAATCCCCAACCCTTGTGACCCTGACACAATTTGTTATAACTACAGTTAAAGGTAAGCTTTCTGCCTATCTCCCAAGACACTAGTGGTTAACTGGGGGTAAAAATAAGTTTTTTGTGAACTTCTTTGACAGAAGTATCATATCTAGAAGAAAAGTGGTGTTAAAGGCAGACAGGATGCAGTAGGTACCTCCTGTCATGGTACTGTCTTTAGGCGGGATTGAGAGCTAGCACAATACACCAAAGGGATTTGAAAAGCACCAGTGACAGGAATCACAAGGAGTGGGAAATAAAAACCAGGGAAAACCCCGCTCAGAGAATAGACTTCAGGGGGCAATTGTACCACTACTCGCTAATTATCCCATCACCAGTCATCTCATCACAATAGATGAGGGTAAAATCTAGAAGAGAGAATTTTGCATGGTTGAGTCAGTTCTGGAAATAAAATTATGCTGTAGTCTGGTCAAGTAACGAGGTAACTAGGAAACTGCAGGAAATGCCTACACATCTTTTCTTGGCGTAAGATCACAGATCAGCATAACTGATGATCTACAGAAGGGTGATCAGCTTTCCTTTAGACTCCACTAGTACAGAGAAAAATGAAATAAGAAAGCATGCCTGACTTTCTCTCCTTTGTATCACAGGTTTTTAAACTCATGAAAGTAAAACAGAAAAAAAGAGGTAATGGTCAGTTTAGATTCAGATTCAAACATACTTATTGATGCTACATGATATAAAATGTCTGTGGTATAGTTTGTGATTTTCTAGACAGCAATCTCTCTTTTAATATGTAATAAGATCAATTTTTGTTCTTCCTATTTTTATTAAACACTGTCTTAAACAACCAGAGATGCCTGTTTTATCTCTTCTTCCTTTTGTTCAGTACAAATTACAAGAAACATATTGATAAAACCATACAGTTTACACAAAACACTAATTAACCACAGAAACTTGGCAACTTTATGACCTATGTCAAACAAATAGAAAAAAAAGTAGGGAGAAGCTTAACCACTGGTGTAATGTCTGACTTTTAAGCATGTCTCACATCACTCTAGGAGTGTAAATTACTCTCAATCTCTATCTCCTTCACAAGATAAAGGGATGGCAAGTCCAATTATAGATGAAAATTGGTAATGAACTTCTAAAATGCCTATGCAAGCAATTTTCTTCACTGGATACTTCCTAATCTCTTGGGCATTTGAACAGTATTGCAGGCTTACAGCAAACTAAAAAGGGGCTAGGAATTGTTGCCCACAGACCTTTTGTGGCAGAAGGCTTTACTGCATAGAAAATTAATCTGTTGATTTCTGACTTGATTTGCTGAAGAGTCATATAAAAAGGAGCAACAATAGGTAAATAGTAGCCATTATGTCCTTAGAAGAGGTTCATGTTTGTTTATTTCTTAACTCTACTGTGAAATATAGATTGGCAATTCAGTTTTATAACAGCCTCTGAAAATAAAAAATGCATATCGCAACACTGGAGAGATGTGATTTGCTGCACAGATTTTTTCAAGTTTTGATTTGTTTTCAAGATTTAATTTGTTGTGAAGCCACAAAAGGAGATTATTTACCCTTGGGGTGTTCTTCCCCTCCTTTGGAAGATGGGAAGAAGCTGGTGGACTTCTTAGCTGGTTTGTATGCAATAGTTTTTTTGGAAGTCTTAAAAATTAAGAACTTTTATTACTTTTTTTATTTTCTCTCACATCATTGTTTAATTTGGGAGTGGAAACCCCTTTTCTCATCTGTTTTTCAGAACAAGTCATCTCAAGGGCTCCAGTAAGCAGGAAATACAGAAAAAAAGAAAAAGTGGTGAATTGCTATTGAAAAGCTGCAGCTATTAGGTTTTAAAATGTTCCCCTAGTATTTGCATTATTGCCTAAATATGCCGAGTGTAAAACACCGAGCAATAAAAATAATTTAGATGTTAAGGTAACTGACAAGCACTTAAGCATGACCACTACTGTTACATTAGAAACCCAACAAAGATTTCATTCGCATCTGCCCAATTTTTATGTGTGAAGGTTCCCTTGTGTCACTACTGGAATCCACTGAGAAGCTCCACAGAGAGCTAGGTGGGTGAGTCTCAAGGAAAGAAAGTTTACATTTCAAATTATTTTCTTTCTTTTTTTCCTTTCTTTTCTGGAGTGAGGAAGCTGTTAAAAGAATATGAGAAACAAGGGAACTTTTAACTTTTTTTCTGCAGGCACTCCAGTGTTTAATAACTTTCTTGTAACGAGAACCTCCATCATAGCAAAATTTCACTATTTTCTTCCACATAAATAGCTCTTCAGATGACAACATCTGAGTTAGATGTTTGCTACTTTTGGCCCTGCATTGTTTCTATCTGTAATCCCACTAAAGCAGAGCCTGCAGTGCCTAGCAGTCTCTCAGGTACTGGCTTTGACAAGTGGTAGCTGCAGTGTGGTGAGGTCTGATGCTGGTGAGGATCAGGTTTCAGGAAGGAGCTGACACCCAGTGTAAAGTTATGAGGTGCTGCTGTTTGCCTCTCAGTAGCCAGGATAAGAAATAATAACAAAAACAACCTTTTTAGGATTTCTTTTTAAGATGTAAAGTGGTAAACAATTGCTCCCCCTCACCACAGAAAGGTCACACTTGGAAATGGAGCATATCTGTACAATGAGCATGGCCACCCCTTACTATGTTTGTTTAAGACACAAGTTGTTCTTGTATGAAACCCTAGGGAAAGCAACTATCTCCAGGTATTCGACATATCTCTGGGGAACTGCTAATTTGTAAATGTTGCAACAACAGCTGTAGCGCAGGCAGTGGCTAACTGGGATTCTTTGTGTACTGGTGGCAAGAAAAACACTGCCTGAAAAGAAATGTTCAGAATTGCCAAGACAAAGCAAAGCGGAAGTCTTCTGAGATCTTGAGAAGTTTCAAGGTCAGAAGGATTACAGGAGAGGATGAGCACACAGACAACAGTATGGAGCTAAAACTGGCAGGAAAGAATCCCTGAATCCTGAGAGTCGTGAGAGAGCCAAGGAGGGTGTGCTTTGATGCGTGTGAAGGAGTACGCCTCTAGAGTGAAAAAGAAACTTAAAATACTTAAACACAGACAAATAGTGTGAAGTTGTTCCCTTTTTTCATTTCTACTATCAACACAATAGGAAAAGCATGTGTTGCTAATCAAAATCACAACTACTTCTAAGTACCCATCTCCCTTAAAAATACAAATGAAACATAAATCTCTGCACCCATAAAATGCATATTTGCAAACTTGTCTATGCACAGATTTTCTACTAGCTGTATTAGCTGATCCAGACTCCTCTACCACTGCTGGAAAACTGCAGTCCACTACCCCAACATGAATTGTAGCAGCTCCCAAAAGGCAGGCCAGCAAGTATAATAAGGGAAGGCTACCAGCTGGGTTTTTATTAAAGAAGTACATGCAGTGATTCACATATGCTTTGCCTTTTGTAACTTTGTAAAAGCATTCTGTATTTCTTCACGTATTGTGAAATTCCACATAAATGGTGAAATGAAATTCTAATGAAGCATCGCTGAATATATGAAATTATAAGTGATAGATTGATACATTAGCTGCTGTTAACTGACAGAAAGCGATCAGCTGTTGTGAAAGTACAGCTTTAAAGACCTCATACAGCTTTCTAATAGTCCATGCAAAAAAATCTGCTTCTAGTGAATTTATTTTGAACTACTGTACAATGAACTAAGAAAAAGAGAATTAAAGTTTGATCCTGAATTATAATAAAAGAAATAACTTTAATAAAATGTTCACACATTTTTGCATTGCAATCTAAGCTTAGAACTAGACTAATATAGGTGACACTTCCATGTAAAAACTTGTAACATTTTGGATTTTTAGCGGTTTTATTAGCTATGTAAAGACATTGAGCACCTCTTGCCTTTGAAAGTGATGTGCAGAGTCCCAGCGGGGCAAGATCTGATCCAAAGAATAGTTTTCTTTTGAAAAAAGACATGTCAACCCCACATTTTTACATACCTTCTGTGTGCTTTTTAACATTACTAACAAAACCCCTTTTTTTCTACCTCAATTATTCTGCCAGCTCTGAATCCCCCATGGAATTAACAAGGAGCAACCTGGACTTCTGCTTCTCTTCTTGCCAATGTCAAAATGTCTTACAGCCCAAATTCTCTCATGTCATTATGGTGTAAAACATGCCACAGTCAGCACTTTCACTACTCTTGATGATGACATGTGGTGCAGAAAAAGTCTAAATTGAATCTCAAGATGCTGCTGGTACAATCCACATTTAAAATTACTTGTACAATCAAGTTCCTATTGTAATGTTACTTTTTTTATAATGAACCAGAAATTGTTTCAACAACACACTGTATATTCTTTTCCCTTACACCTGTGAAAAACAAGAGAGTAGTAAAATCATCTCTACCATTTTTCCCTTTCTGCGTAGTCTTTCGTATGGCGATAGGGAAACCCCTTCAGGAAGAAAACATTCAGTAAGTAACATTGTTCATCCAGTTTGCTAAGACATGCACAGATTAACACGGTACTTACCACTCCCACAGGGAAAGCTAGAACAGCCATCATCCAGTCACGGAGGGAAATGAGTTTTTTCAGCTGCCTCTCTTGCTCTTGACTGTCATTCCCTCTAGTGAGAAGACTGGACAGGTCAGTCAAGACACAAATCCCAAAGAAGACAGCCTGGATAACCTGCATGGAAGGGAAACACACTCTTGAGCACATCTTAATCTTTCTGTGTTCCTTCTCCCATTTCTTCTTCTTTTGAACAGAGAAGACCAACCCTTTGGAAGAAAGCAGGTCAGACACAGGCTTGCATGAGGAATATTGCCACAGAATTGACATGGGGAGTGGGGATACATCAGTCCCTTAAATATGGTCAGAGTTTATTCACATAAAAGCCATGCGTGCTTCAAAGTCCTGCATGCACCTTGCTCCTCATCTACAGGGGGAATCAGTGTGAGTGGAAGGACCACCCCAGAGGTGGCTTTCCACCCTCACCTCAGATACATGCCACCTGCTGGTGGTGAACTGAAGCCACCCTTTCCTGTGTCACTCCACGCAGCTCATCCCCAAAGGAATTGCCTCTGAGGCAGAAAAGTGAGGAATGCTCCCTGTGAGAAGGGAAAGAAACAGAAATGAGTGTTTCCTTCCCTTGTGACAGGAGGTCTCTCTTGGAGATTCTGCCTGCCCCAGACACTCCACCTAAAGGTGAAGGAAGTGCCTAAGACTTCCTGACAGACACAGTACATGGCCCAGGCTTCAGCAAATCTATCTCTGTTTCTTCTCAGGCTGTGAATGATAGAATGAGAAACCTGCAGGAAATGTTCACTTTCTTTTCCTGATGGCACACTGTAATTTACCTAACTTTTCCTTTTTTTGCATTTATGTATTTGTGTGCAATATAAGGCTATCTGTTATATTAAATCGTTAGTTTAATCACCTGAACCCACTGATTTGGTTCAAACCTGACTAAATCTTAATGTGATCACTGAGTTTTTCTCCTTTAATTAGCTTGGTAAAACTGTAATAAGTTAGCTTAGGAATGCTCTTGCCTGAGGACTTGCACATCCTTTCTAGTACAGTTCAGAGGAAGTGCACACAACTTGTTTACTCCCCAAGCTGGAAGCCCAGGTCACAAACCCACACACATCAGGTAATCTCAGGTAAAAAATTAACAAAACGTGGGCTTGGTTCCCAAATTACACAGTGATTTGACAAAAAACATGAACATATATATGCTTAGAATTCATGCATGTTTTTCAAAGCAAGCATGCAATCCTAGTTTAGAAGTCTTACTGTAAACCTAAGTGTTCCACTGACTGGGAGTCTCTGACCAAGCAGAAAACTATTCATAAGAAATAAGAATAGCATATACCCAGATGCTGCAAAATACAATTTATTATCTGCATACATCTTTGCAGAATTTACACTACAATAAGGCACACAGGCAGGCAGGAAGGAAGGATGGAAGGAGAAAAATACCAAACAGATGTTGGCTACTAGGAAGAAATCCAGAGATGTGTAATGACTGGATGGATTAAAGTATACTTCCTTCCTCAACAATCCTTATATGACCCAAACACTTGTAAATTCTGGCTGTAAAGCTGTGAATGACAAACATTCAAATGGATCCTGGATCTGCTTGCAATTCTGTTGCCATTTCTCTCTCCAGGCTGTAGCTACATAGAATTTGCTTGATAAATAGATGAAGCAACATTACAAAACATTTCCTAAAGCCATGAGATGTGACAGACTATTAATGCTAGAGCTGTATATTGCGCTAGAAAAAGGTATTGCTATTTCAAATGACTGTTTGGAAAAGTTACAATCTTCTACATACTTTTTGAAAAGCCTTTTAAATGTAAGTTGGGGCTTCTTGGAGCTGCTAAGAACTCCTAATGCACTTTTTCATATTATTTGTTTGAAACAAGCACTTAGTAGAAAAAAATCTTTCCATAGTCAGGCCTGTTTTCCACCAAACAGATGGCCTATTTGGAGAACTGAAATAGAAGAACTAATTATGCATTTGCTTGACTTATGAGATATGATACCATCTACTATTCACTCAAGAGTGTGAATGCCAAACAAGACAGAGCTGGGGAAAAAAGTATACCTAACAGTAATGATATCAATCTGGGTGTTAAAAAGTTTAGGCTGAGTACCAGGAAATATTTCCTAACAGTGAGCTCTGTCAGACCATTAAATAGTTTCTCAGAGGAAGTGGTGGAAGCCTCATGGCTTGAGTCACTCAAACCGATATTGGACAAAACACTCAATAATGTACTGCAGGGAACCGTATTATGCTGGCAGGGCTTGGAAAAGTGACTAATGGATTGTTTGCAGCTCTAACTACAATTCCCTGAAATGGTCCCTCTCCAAAGAAACACAGACTCAAACAATCACACGCCTACTTTCCAAGGGAATTAAAACTGTACATCTACTAATCAATCACAAACTGAGCAACTTCTCTCCCTATTATCCTGTTATGAACACAGAGCTTCAAGAGAAAATGTAATGATATCATTGGGAATAAGTGAAAACTCCTAGAGGAAAATACCCAAAGATTTCAGAGGGTAGGAATGAACCAGACTACTCTACAAAAACATTAACAAATAAAAATCCATATAGGAAAGAGAAAATTACATCTTTATTGAGAACATTCAGAGGCAATTGAAAAAATTGTACAGTGTTCAGGAAAGAACAACTTATTCATACAAATAACGTACATACATTCACTCCATTCATTCTGCTTCCTTTCCTGTCTAGAATGCACAAGAAAATTCTTCTGACACTTATCAACACTTAGGATTAGAGTTAGGACCTCCAGAGCTGCATGAGTCTCAGCAGCATTAATTGAACAGAATCAGTAATGATTTACATCCTTTGTGGGTCTGGCATAGGAAAAGCACAGCATGCAGCTACTGATGGTTTTTAGTATGAAATAAATTCTTGAAGTCCATGCTCCTTGGTGTGAATGCTGTCTAACAGATGTGAAAAGATCACAGCAAGGAAACAGAAACTCCCTCTAAACAATGTTCTTCAGATGCCCTGGTGTTACATCAGATTTAGGAACACATTTTCAAAAGAGAGATCCTATTTTGAAAATTTGCAAGTGCTAAATCCATACATGAAACATCCTCAAGCTGCTGAACAGCTGACTTTTTTTCCCCTCGGAAATGTAAGCAAGAAGAGCATTTCAGAGGAAATACTCTTCAGTTTTGCCTCTAACTAGAGCTTGAAGGAAAACAGTGATTTAGAAAATGACAAATTTGACAGAAAACAGACACAGCTTCCCTATACCATGTAACAATATAGATAGATAATACAGGTAGTATAGACAGAATCAGAAACTTATAAGCAGAGTATGCCATCCCAAGAAAATAACTGAACAGGTATAAAATACTGCTGATCCTTTTCTTCCTAGAAGCGTAAAGGGGCTACTGCCACTAGAGTTGATACCACAGTACCTTTAAACTGTGATAACACAATGAAAAATAATAACAGTGGGCATCTAAAGGATGTTAGTAAACAAAACTTAGACCAGTAAAAACACTTGTTAAGTTGCTGCAGAAGAAAAACAGCTATAAACAAGCTAAAAGATGAAACCAAGTAGCAACGAAACCTTCTCAAACAGGGAGATGTGTTGAATTACATAGAATGAACTAATTGTATGTGTCTGTCTACTAGCAGAAAATTAAGACTTGCTTCAGTAGGACAGATTTTTCACAAGGTGCTCGTTTCAGGACTGCAACTACTGACCTTCTCGTACTCCCCCTAATTTGACTTCTCAAGAGTCAAACAGAAAACCTATTTCCTCATAAATCCTTGTCCAGGGCACAGAGACTCCCTTCTCCCCCCATGCCATGAAACTCCATTGTGTGGACAAGATCTCTTGAGGTCATGAAAATTCTGTTACTAGTCTTACCAGAAAGAAAAGGCAGAAAATCCACCCTTAAATTAATTGAATCTACAATTTAATTCTCTTTCAAGTTCAGTCTCATAATCAGAAGCACTCCTTAGAGCTCAGGGCAGGAGAACCAGAAAAGTCTCTGCAAGCACTAATACTTTTCAAGGGTAATTTTCCCTCTACCTACCTGTGATTATGAAAAATCACTGTCCTCAAGTTATCATTTTCGAGATTAACACCACTTACGTCATGTGGCTCTCTATGAAATAAGGCATCAGTTTGGGCTGGCAAATAGGCAGCACCACCAGAATAAAACATGGGAGTAACACTCACAAAATCCACAAGAAATAACAAAAAAGCACTAAGTAACCAAACATAACCCACATGAGACAATGACTAATTCACAGAAGGGTGTCAGGGAGGCCTCACCGATCCCTGGGGGTAGGGAGAGGCAGGGGGTAGTCAGGGCACATCCCCAGCCAGGAGCAGAGCAGCAAGTGGCACGGGGCCAGTCCCAACCTCAGGGCATCAGGCACATCCCTGGGATCAGGCCACCACCTTGCAGGTGGGAGGACAGACTTAACCTGACCCATCAAATCATTCAGGCTTAAGACACATGTTGTATTTCCACGAGAAGATGCAAGTTTAGTTCTACCAGCATGCAAAATCAAATTGCTGAAAGTTGTAATTTCTCTCGTATTTTTCAATCTGCCACAGAAAGAACATGGCCCGATTCTCCTCTTCAAGCAATGGAAAATTATTCATAACCTTGGAGTATCTATTACTGCTCACCATCACCTTAGCTTTAATTTCTACAACCTCTGGACATCATTACTTGCTGTAACAAATGAACTATGCTTCAGCAGTTAAGATAACCGTTTCAAGTGGTGCTGTGTTTTGGGCTGTTTGCAGGCATCCTGTAACAACATGTATCCTGTACAGCCTGCATCTTGTAACAACAGCTCTGTTATCTGTAGTTGCAACATAGAGAAGTCCAGGTTAGAAGGAGAATGAACAGGTATTTTTAATAGAAAACTATTTGAACGAAGTAATGGGTTGTAGCTGCTTCATAAATGTGTTACTGTTCTTGATTGCATGGAACTACTGAATCTTCTTGCCCATTGTCATTCCACCAATACTCAAAGGCACACTGCTTTATTCTCGTCGCTTCTCCTCTCCTTGCTGTATCTTTGTTAGTTATGATAGCAAGCAGAAGCTGGACAACATGTAATCAAGTGCTAAATTTATGTATCACAGAAGCTACAGACTTAAGAAAAAGGCA